ATGCGGGCTTATTTTTTAAGAATTTCTATTTTTGTAATGAAAAAATTAAAAAGTTAATTCCGGCCGGAAATTAGTAAACAATTTTGTAACGTGGGCCAAAATTTTGAAGATCCTCGATCGTTAGCCAATCAAAATCGAGGATCTGCCGGTCCAATTTTGTTGCGGCAGCTATGGCAAATTTCGGTAATAGTTTTCGGTAATAAAAATTTCGGCCGAAATTTATATTATGAAAAATAATTTGCCGACGATCATCACATGTCCCACTAATTTTCAAATCAGCTGTAATAAGTAATTATACATCACTGCTCACCAACAATCACGTAATTTCTGGATGCCCCTTAGTTCTATTATCAAATATGATAACCAATCAGATGCATTAGTTTTAGATTCATTGACAGTTTAATAAACAATGTTACACTTGCATTTTGATCGATCTGTTCCCATTTCCATGGATTTACTGTCATGTTCAATTTATAAATAAAACGAAATCGAGAATCATAAGGTAAACCACCCCAGATGAGTATAACTCTTGGTTCAATTAAAACAGATCGTGGTTGAAAAATTCTTCCAATTTTTGTAGGATAATCAATCAAGTTTAGAGCATCATTCCAAATATTTGACGTAAAGTTATAAACTTGGAATCCATTGTAACTTAGTGGCTTTGACCCGCCAATGACTAATAGCAAACTCAAAGAAGGTTCGACGATACATGTTATATCGCAAGTATTAATGGCATTAGTAGTATCAAGGACTTCCCATGGAATTGAAGAGGTAGTAAATGGCATTTTTGCTTTATGAAAAAACGAATTTACTGTACTATTCTCCCATTTGATATCACCTCCAAATAAGTAGACAGCAGAATCATATGTAAAGAGACAGTGACATTCTCTTACTCCTGGACTATTGCTGATTACTTGATTTAAAACCCCGAGAATTAAAAAAATTGATAGCGAACGAGAATTTAATAAAGCCATTATCATAGGAGCGCTATTTGTTTAACCGCGAGTAACCACTTATTTATATTATGATTAAACGAATTGAAAGTCTTATAGCCGATTAAATAACCAGTCATACAGGGCAAACAAATTTGTATGTCAATAGACAGCATGCTTATTCATGTATAAAATTACTAGTGCAAGATACTTGGCGTACAAGCTTGTACGACAATGTCATATTTATTTATATCGATCATTTATTTTTGATTTTGTTTAATATAATATTTTAATTTTTTTTCATTCGTGGTGTTTAATTGGTAAGTATAACGAACACTTATTAACCAGAAAACAGGTGCCATTAGATGTCCAAAGCCAAATATTTCATTAATTATTGACATTTCATGAATAACATATACGTATCACATATCACAATATTTTTTATCGTTACTAATTTCTAATGATTAGCTAACGGTAAATTCATCTAATATAAAAATAGGGTTGGGCATAAACACATCTGGTCTATGGTCCCCTGTTAAGTCCTCGTTTCGCTTCGGCAATTAAACTGTTTATATAGTACATTACATTAACCCGCAATGTATGGAAATCATTTGAGAACTGCCGTTTATCTTTTATTATTTAACTGAATAACAATCTTAATTTTCTTTATGGAAATCATTTGAGAACTGCCGTTTATCTTTATTATTTAACTGAATAACAATCTTAATTTTCTTTATTTGATATATAAATGCTATTGTGCTAGCATATCATACTAAATTAATTGTATTTTTAAATGTGTGAAATACAAAGAGAACTTCTGCAAATTTTGCATCTAAAAACTAAGCTTTCACAAAATTTGTTATCTCCTTTTAAAGCATTGTTTAATCAATAGGCGAATAGATCGAATAATGCGTTTAGATTAAAATCTTACTAGGAGCTTCTTTTGCTAAGAAAAAAAGCCTGTTTCTTGTGCTTATAATAGGATTTTTTGCACGGCTGAAATCTGTGCTATGTAGTTACTAAGTATAGATGTCGCAGATTAATTCGACTAGATGATTTGTATCATACTATAAATTTTTTTATTCGTATTGTTTTTGTAGTATTCACTCATTGATCAAATATTCAAACTATTTGATTATTATTACCCTTAGTTAGTGTAATAATTACTCATAAAACTAAGTTATTAACAAATCAAAGAAGCTTGGGAATTCAATACTTCCGCAACTGTCTTTTTTCTTTATCCATATATCCGAACTAATGATGGGAAAATGTGCATTTCTCGTAATAATGCGCGCGATAAACAATTAATTAACTAATTAATTAAAAAGACAAAGAAAGCCGAGACGGAAAGAGCCCTTCTTTATAAATTCTTTTATATAATAAATAGTTATTGGATGTGTAGCATCCAATAACAGTTTTATTTGGCAGGAGAAATAAGAATGCCGTGAT